CGCAAGCGTTATTTACGCTTGTGAAACGTACATTTGACGTACATTTTTACGAGTTATTTTTGACAGCGATCTTACTCCATAAAAAGCCCAATACTAACAAGCTGAAAGGAGCCATATCACCACCTACTGTAGTGGAGTCAGACATACTTCGCTCAATAATTCGATTCCCCTCCCGTGCATGTATACTGGGACAAGGACAGTAGTCTGATTAAATGGTGTAGTTGAGCTATAACCGTAGCTCGACTTAGCTGCGCATGTAAACATGAACTGACTGTGTTAAAACAACATAATATATATGTAACTGGAGCATTTAGATAAATTCAGACAAAGTGCGGTCACGTGCTGGCTAGTCTCTGCTGACGTGGATGTGTGTGGCAAGTTTTTAGAGTCAATCGGGGCTAATTATGCTGCACCGGGGATGGTTTATAGGTAGGACGCGGCGTTCACGCTGAGTCCAGTGTAGTTACCGTATTGACTCCGAACGCAGTGACTGACGCTGCGTTTGTCCGCTGGTCTTGTTTGCCCCTCCCCGATCGATGTTACTGGTAGGCATTTGCCGTTCGGTGTTACATTTAGTCTGTGGTTCTGCGTTTTAATTCCCGTGTTTTTTTTTGTACGTTTGTAGTGGACTGTGGGTAAGGTGGGTTTGTTAGCCTGCTGCTTTCGTTATGGCTGGCTAAGCGGTAGCTACACGTTCCGGTAGGTATAAGATCGACCGGAGTTTTAATGAATTTGAGCTATGACGGCAGGTTTGATTGTTTGTCTTTTTGGATTTTTGTTTTATTTCTAAGTAGTCTCCCCCTTTCGTGGTTCGCAGTGGGTAGGGCTGCTGTCTTGTCTGTCTTCAGATTATAGTAGTTGGTGTTTTTTTTTTTTTATTATTATTTTTGGTTTGATTAGTTTGTACGTGTGAGTAAGCCCCGGTTCCTAGCGTTTGTGTGGCCTGCGTTTGTTTATGGGGTGGGTCTTGTCTTTGGGTTTTTTTTGGTTTGGTTTTTATTAGTTCTGCAGTGCTTTAAAGTGATTTGCTGTGTTTGTTGTTTCATTGTAAACGCTTACGCTGGGCTGTGTGATTCAATATGTGATTGTGGTTCGGTTATTGTCACTGTTTACCGTTTCTAGCTTCTTGGTGAGGCTGCTGTTGTGAGTTGAATAAAAGTGCAATTCCTTTGAATTCCTTTGAATTTTCCCGGCCGCTTGCGGTCAGCTGTAGGTTGTTCTCTTGGACCCCCGGGAACTTTTTTTTTTTTATGGAATTCACATCGCCTGTTCTACTTGGACCTGTGCAGGGGATACTGTCTTTTTTTTTTTTTTCCTCTCCCAGTGACGATTTAGTCGGTGTCCCTGGGCAGTAGGACCTGGGGTGGCGTAGTCAGGCTACTGTGGTTTGCTCTGGCCTTTCCCCTTACCACTCCTGCCGCATATATATTAATCCTCACCCCTCTGTGACCAGGTTTCCTGTCTCTGTCATGGTTCTTTGTGTGTGGGCTTTGCATGTTCTCCCCATGTCATTGTGGGACTACCTACAGTCCAAAAACATGCTGAGGTGAATTAGTGTTGCCAAACTGCCCAGAGGTGTGACTGGTGTGTGAGTGGGTTGGCACCCCATCCTGGGTTGTTCCCTGCTTAGTGCCCATAGCCTCTTGGTTGGGCTCCAGACCCCTATGACCCTGAATAGGTATGGAAAGTGGACGTGGAAAATTAATGAATCCTATTTTACATATTAAGAACATAAGAACTATACAAACAAGAGGAGGCCATTCGGCCCATCGAGCTCGCTTGGGGAGAACTTAACTAATAGCTCAGAGTTGTTAAAATCTTATCTAGCTCTAATTTAAAGGAACCCAAGGATTCAGCTTGCACTACGTTATCAGGAAGACTATTCCATACTCTGACTACACGCTGTGTAAAGAAGTGCTTCCTTAAATCAAGTTTGAAATGTTCTCCCGCTAATTTCCACCTATGCCCATGAATTCTTGTATTTGAACTAATGCTGAAGTACCTATTCGGTTGAACAGCATCCAAACCTGTTA